CCCAACTTCTCATTATTGATGAACGCACCATGGCATCCAGTCATGCTATAAATGCCATAGACAGATTACTAAGAGAAATTATGAGTCTGAATGTTCTATTTGGTGGGAAAGTTCTTCTTGGAGGGGATTTTCGACAATGTCTCGGTATTGTACCACATGCTATGGGATAGGCCATAGTACAAACGAGTATAAAGTACTGCAGTGTTTGGGGATGTTTCAGAAAGTTGTCTCTTACAACAAATATGAGATCAGAGGATTCTACTTATAATGGATGGTTAGTAAAACTTGGAGATGGCAAACTTGATAGCAGTTTTCATTTAGGAATGGATATTATTGAAATTCCCTGTGAAATGATTTGTAATGGATCTATTATTGAAGCTACCTTTGGAAATACTATATCTATAGATAATATTAAAAATATATCTAAATGTGCAATTATTTGTCCAAAAAATGAACATGTTCAAAAATTAAATGAAGAAATTTTGGATATACTTGATGGAGATTTTCACACATATTTGAGTGATGATTCCATTGATTCCCACAGATGATGCTGAAAAGGAAAATTTTCCCATCAAATTTCTAAATAGTATTACTCCTTCAGGAATGCTGTGTCATAAATTAAAATTGAAAGTGGGTGCAATCATCATGCTATTGAGAAATCTCAATAGTAAATGGGGTCTTTGTAATGGTATCAGATTTATTATCAAAAGATTATGACCTAACATAATCAAAGCTGAAATATTAACAGGATCTGCAGAGGGAGAGGTTGTTCTGATTCCAAGAATTGATTTGTCCCCATCTGACACTGGCCTCCTATTTAAATTGATTCGATGACGGTTTCCATGATGCCAGCATTTGTGATGACTATTAATGAATCTCATGGACAAATTCTAGACAGAGTAGGCATATTCCTACCTGAACCCATTTCTTCACATGGTCAGCTATATGTTGCTTTCTCTCGAGTTTGAAGAGCATGTGACGTTACAGTTAAAGTTCTAAATACTTAATCACTAGGGAAATTAGTCAAGCACTCTGAAAGTGTTTTTACTCTTAATGTGGTGTACAGGGAGATATTAGAATAATTTTAATCACTTTATCAGTCATTGTTTGCATCACTGTTGTTTTTATATCATGTTTTTGTTGTTTTCATATCATGTTTTTGTCGTTTTTATATCATGCCTCTTTTGTTGTTATATGCTTTTGTTTCTGTTTATTTATTAATAAATTTATATATTATTTTCATATACATTTTACTAATTTCCTTTCATCTCTCACACTTCTATTATAGAGAAAGGGCAAATAGCAATATTAAAATATCTCCGCTAATTAATTCCCTTTAAAATATATATATTTTATTGATTTTTTATAGAGAGGAAGGGAGAGGGATAGAGAGTTAGAAACATCGATGAGAGAGAAACATCTATCAGCTGCCTCCTGCACACTCCCCACTGGGGATGTGCCCACAACCAAGGTACATGCCCTTGACCGGAATCAAACCCGGGATCCTTGAGTCCACAGGCTGATGCTCTATCCACTGAGCCAAACTGGTTAGGGCAATTAATTCCCTTTTAATGTGCACTAATTTTGTGCACCAGGCTACTAGTCTATATATATATATAAAAGCCTAAAGCAACCATTACGACTGGTTGACCTAATGACCAGTTAACAGGTTGCTATGATGTGTACTGACCACCAGGGGGCAGATACTTAATGCAGGAGTTGCCCCCTGGTGGTCAGTGAGCTCCCACAGCCAACCTCCCATGGTCCCTCCCCGTGGCTGGCTGGCCCCAATTGGCCCTGATTGGGACTGGGCGAGATGGCCCTGATCGGCCCTGATCGCTGGCTAGGCAGAGGAACGCCACCTGTGCATGAATTCGTGCACTGGGCCTCTAGTAATAACATAAAAATGTATGACAGGTCTCCTTCTCTCACCTTTTCACTTAAAGGAAGCATGATCAAGAGGCTACGTAGTGGAAGTATCTACAGTGTAGAGATGCAGGGCAAGGGGATAATTCACCTTCTGGACAGAATAATGTGGGGTGAAACAAAATTTCATTATGCTACTCAGAATGTCACTCATTTTAAGACGTATAAATTGTTTATTACTGAATTTTACACTTAATATTTTTGGACTTTGGTTGAGCATGGGTAACTGAAACTGCAAACAGAAAAACCACGGATGAGGGAGGAATACTGTACAGCAGATAATCAAGAAGTTAGAGCGAGTAACATAACAAAGCACATGTGCCATGACCCACAAAACTGAAGCCTTTATATACTTTTCCCCTTGTTTATTTCCCACTCTCTTCCCAGAGGAAACTGCTGTGTGGAATTTCACCTGTCATTCTCATCCATATCAGGCTTTACTGTATGCATATATATATAGAATCCTGCGTGAGTGTCACATAAACAGCACCATATAGTGTATTTTATTTTGTTTCTTGTTTCCTTTCCACACTTTGTGATCTTTATTGGTGTTGAGTCATTTCTACTGCCTCATGATAGTTCATTGTATGAATCAATTTCTTTAAGTACATTTTCTCTTGGAGAACTCTCTTTCTTTCTTTCTTTCTTTCTTTCTTTCTTTCTTCTTTCTTCTTTCTTCTTCTTCTTCTTTCTTTCTTTCTTTCTTTCTTTCTTTCTTTCTTTCTTTCTTTCTTTCTTCTTCTTTCTTTCTTCTTTCTCCCTCCCTCCTTCCCTTCCTTCCTTCCTTCCTTCCTTCCTTCCTTCCTTCCTTCCTTCCTTCCTTCCTTCCTTTTAAAATCATTATACATAAAGCTGTTTTGAATATTCCTGTAGGTTTCCTGAACACATGTGGAAAAGTTTTTCTAAGAGTGTCATTGCAGGCCCAAATGTTATGAGATATTTCCAAATTGCTTTCCAAGGTTTACTGATTTGCTCTCCCACCAACAGCATATGCTTTCATAAACTCGATAACATTTGGTTTGATACTGTCAGATTTTTAAAATAAGTAACAAAGGCTTTTGAATAAGTAAAACTTTCAAGTACTTCAAATGTCTAAGCTCTGACGAGGTAGAATGTGAGAATTCTTTGTCTCTAGTTCCTAGGCACCCAGTTTAGTTCACTGTTCAATGTTCATCTACCTGACCTTGGTGGACCATTTTTGGGGGGACCCCCTAATGTCCACATCTTAAAATCTTTCTTCTTGAGCTGGTAAGATTTTCCATAGAGAGCCTTTTAATCTGACTGGAGAGGAAGGGTCTGGCTGACAGAGTTCTGGGAGTTGAATGAGCTGGAGTGTCTGCATTAAGCATTCACTCTACATACCATACCTGTATCTACAATTGTGACTGACATCCGTCCATGACCTCTCCATAGAGGCAAGGAAGAAGTGGCCCATAGGTAGAGAGTGAAGGAGGATTTAGAGATTGATTACTTCTGAATCAGCTTTCACCCAGCTTTCTGTGTCTCATCATGCCCTTTGCCCCAGCCCTGGCTCTATTAGCTTTGGGATATCTGGATTTCCCATATTTTCCTTTCAGTTCTGCTTTCATACTGGAAGTCTTTTTGGAGCTTATTGCTTTTTGTAGTTCCTTGTCAAATGCAGGCAATAAAAGCAAACTCTTGGTACCAATGTTTTGCTTTCTTACTTCTTAACTAAAACCAGAAGTTCAATTAGCCCATTTTTCTTTGTAGGCAACAATTTGTTTCAGACAACATGCTATGCATTTCAGGGTTTTTGCTAGCTCAGCACCGTATTTCTGGTTCTGATATCTGTATCCATCAGCTTAAGCTAAATTATGTTGCAATAATAAATGGCTTCCCAAATCCTGGTGCCTTACAACATCAGCTATTTATTTCTTGCTCATGTACATATTGGCAGTACATTGGCTTTCACTCTATTTTTTGTTCTGCTGTACAGGCGAGGCAGGAACCCCCATCTTAGTCTTGTGGCAGAAAGAACAGAGCAAGGGACCTTAAAACATCTGTTCAGAAATTATATAAATTCCATTAGACAAAGAAAGTCACATGGCGATCCTTGACCTCAATGAGCAACATGTATACTCTTTCCAACAGAAGGGACCCCTGGGAGGGACCCTATAGGAATGAACCTATAGGGAGGAACAATGGATATTTAGAATAAATAATACAACCTGCCACAGTTATTTATTTATTTATTTATTTTTACATCTTTAAACTGACTAATCCAGAACTGAGATTTGTCTTTTTTTTTTTTTTTATGCTATCATGTCCTAATAAGGTAAAATGTTGTCATCTAATGTCTCCGCTCTTAAGGTCCATATTTCTTTAGTGGGCACATGCCCTGGGTCCCCACAAGACAGCTGGCACTTTGATGAGCTCCTTTACCACTGCACATCTGGAACTGTTGGCTCGTGATCCCAAGATATGAAGGAGGTTCCCACTGCTCCCCATCCCTGCCAAGCACCAGCACTAGCTCTCAGAGCCTCACTCTTCCCCTGTGGGTCTTGTATGTAGAATCTCATTCCTGCTACAGGACAATATCCTGGGGATGATCTGGATGTGATTTCATTTCCATCAAAGTCTGGGTGCTTTCAGTCTTAGGTTCCCATGAGATCCCTCTTTCTCTTATTACTCATGTACATCCTCAAAAGAAGCTCCTATTACTTGAGGTGACTTGAGAGAGATTGTATTCTAGCAAGTAGAAAAATCAAACACAGCTCTTGTCTCCATATATTCTGTATTTGAACACAAGGCAGGTACTGGATCCCCACTGTTCTCTAGCTGCTGACCGAGCATAAATTAATTTAGTTTACATTTTTAGAACAATAATTAGCTCATGATTCATGCTGAAGAAAATGTTCCTATCTCTTCTGCTCTGTAAGGGTTTATTTTAGTTTCTTCATTGTTTATGTCAAAAGTTCCAAGATCCATTGGCTTTGCTAAATCGGCAAAAAATCCACTATCTAAACAAACAACACCTTTTTCTGGGTCTGTAGGAGACAGACTATTTATCTTTATCTGCAAGTGACCAGCATTCATTTATGCATTTGTTCCAGATGTTGCACCCAAAAAAAGCTAACCTGGCCAGTGGGCAACTGTGTCATCTTGGCTCCTGAAATGAGAAGGGTAGAGAACAATGGAGGCCATGGAGCTCCATGTGAGTAAGTGCTGCCTCTCTGAATATCTCTCCCACACAGATTTTCAAACTGGTCACACAAGCCTATCAGCTAGATTTAGTACAATAACTCCTCACTTAATGTTGTCCATAGGTTCTGGGTCTTTGATGAAACGATGTGTTACAAAATCAATTTTACTATAGGCTAATTGATAGAAACAATAGTTGGGTTCCTAGTGTCTCATTGGCATTATCACAAAAGGACATTTAATGAGGACCTGTGGTGGTATGTCTGTATTACATTACTTTGCTTATGACTGTGTAGGGTAGGTCATGGAACTGGGGTTAGCAGAAAAGCATGTCTTCACCTTGACTCAAGCAAGGTGGAAGGAGCCTGTGGAGATCATCAGGGTTGTTCACACGCATTCCGTCTTCTTCCAGGCACAATTGGAATCGCACTCCCCTGCCAGCTTGAGCTCAGGCCACATGACTCGCTTTGGCCAATGAAATGTGAGTAAAAGTCTGCAATTGCCAGTGTGTAGTTTGCCAAAACTCCTTCTGACATAGTAATTGCTGCATCTGTTAAGGTGGTACCTGAAGCTTGAGTCTCTGAGTGAAAGTGGGCCGAGAGGGCCAGCAGTAGACACATGATGTGAGCAAGAAATTATCTTTGTTATGTTAAAGCATTGAGATTCTGCAGTTATTTACAGGTTATTTATATCTGTCCTTAAACCCAAGCAATCTTGACTAGTGAAATAACCTGGTGACTAAAAAATATCCAAGCTTTTTCAAATTTGGACACAAAACCTAGGAGCCATGAGAGAGAAGATTTAAATATGACTACATTTTTTAAAGAATTATCATACACAAAGCAAAAGGGAAAAATATAAACTGAGGGGAAAATATTTGCAATTCCTGGGCTCAGTGTTTATTTCCCTGATGTGTCCATAGCCTTTGCCCTTGCTCTTCCTCTACTTAAAAACTGCTCTTCCCCCAGAGGGCCTCATGGCTCCATCACTCACTTGCTCTAAGAATTTGCTCAAGTGCTATCTTCTCAGGGAGACTTTCCTTGATCACATTATTTAAAACTAGAGGCCTGGTGCATGAATTCATGCATGGTAGGGTCCCTCAGGGTGGCCTGCGGAGATCGGGCCCCAGATTACGCCCCCAGCCTCGCAGCCCTACAGCCCCACCTGGCACCCCACCTTGGCCTGGTGCCATCCCCTCACCTGCTCCATCATCCCTTTGCAGGGCAATACATCAAGGCAGCTCCCCTCCCCTGCCCAGCTCCCTCAGTGTCTGGGAGCCAGGCAGTGCCCCCCACCCCCGCCCCGCTGCTGCCGCTGGTCACCATTTGTGGGGCGATCGGGCCCCTGCTCACACCTGCCTTGGCCTGGCGCCTCCCACTCACCTGCTCCACCATCCTGCTACAGTCCCACTCTCATCTAGGCCCATTGGGGCCAGCAGTGCCTCTACTGCTGCCAGCACCGCATTGCCAATGCCCGCCATGTTCTTCGCTGCCCGCTGGTGGTCAGCACACGAAATAGTGAGCATTCGAACTCCTGGTCTAACAACCGCCCAAGGGGAAAATTTGCATATTAGGCTTTTATTATATATACTAAAGGCCTGGTGTACAAAAATTTGTGCACTCAGGGGAGAGGGGGGTCCCTCAGCCCGGCCTGTGCCCTCTCGCAGTCTGGGACCCCTTGGGAGATAACGACCTGCTGGCTTAGGCCTGCTCCCGGGTGGCAGAGGGCAGGTCCAATCCCTAGGTGCAGCCCCTGGTCGGGCTCAGAGCAGGGCTGATTGGGGAGTTGGGGTGCCACCCACTGTCATGCACAGAGCAGGGCTATTGGGAGGTTGTGATGCCACCCTCAGTCACGCTCAGGGTAGGGCCAATTGGGGGGTTGAGGCACTGTTCCCTGTCACACTCAAGGCAGGGTCTATGGGGAGGTTGCGGGGCCACCCCCTGTCATGCACAGAGCAGGGCCCATCAGGGGGTTGGGGCGCCGCCACTCTCACACTCAGGGCAGGGCCGATGGGGAGGTTATGGCTCTACCTTATCACACACAGAGCAGGGCCTTTGGGGGGAGGGGTGGGGGGGGGGGCGTTGGGGCGCCGCACCCTGTCACACAAGAGCCTCAGGGTGATCAGAGGGTTGGGGAGCTCCCCCCTATCAGGCACAGAGCAGGGCTGATCAGGGGGTTGGGGCGCCTTCCCCTGTCACGAACAGAGCAGGGCGGATAGGGAGGTTGTGGCCCCGCCCCCTGTCACACACAGAGTCGCAGGGCGATCAGGGGGTTTGGGCGCTGTCCCCTGTCACGCTGATCCCGGTGCCGGGAGGCCTCTCGGCTCCGCTGATCCCGGTGCTGGGAGGCATATTACCCTTTTACTATATAGGGTAGAGGCCTGGTGCACGGGTGGGTGCCGGCTGGTTTGCCCTGAAGGGTGTCCTGGATCAGGGTGGGGGTCCCCACTGGGGTGCCTGGCCAGCCTGGGTGAGGGGATGATGGCTGTTTGCAGCTGGTCACACACCCTTCAGGGTGGGGGTCCCCACTGGGGTGCCTGGCCAGTCTGGGTGAGGGGCTGAGGGCCGTTTTCAGGCTGGGGGTGACTGAAGCTCCCAACCGCTCCTTTTTTTCTTTTTTTTTTTTTTTTATTCTGGGCCAGCTTTAGCTTTGAGGCTTGGCTCCAGCTCTTAGGCCTCTGCTGCTGAAAGTAGGTTTCTGGCCTTTGCTTACAATGTTGCGATCCTGCTGGCTGAAGCCCGGTGGACTAAAGCAGGTTTCTGGGGTTTTGTTTAGCTTCTATATTTGTTACATAGTTGCTTAGAGTTGCAGCTCAGAGGCCTGCAGCGGCAGGCAGGGAACGTTGGAGTCCTTCGTCACTGACGCAAGCAAGCCTCATGTTAGTTTCAAGCTGCCTGTCTGTGGGTTGCCATCTTGGCTGGCAGTTAATTTGCATATTGCCCTGATTAGCCAATGGGAAGGGTAGCGGTCCTATGCCAATTACCATGTTTCTCTTTTATTAGATAGGATTGTAGTACTTCTGATAACACAGTTGTCTAATGTATATTTATTTACTTATGTTTGCCTGTCTCTATCCATTAGAATGTAAACTCCATGAGGTGGGGCATGCTTTCCTTGTGTGTTTGTTTTGTTTACTGTTCTATTTCCAGGACATAGAAAAGTGTTAGGCACTCTATCAATATTTGTTGAATGGATTTATGAAGCCTGTTAAGTGAAGAAAGTATGACATATATGAATTTTACACTACCATTTATGTAAAAGGAATTTTTTTCTCCTTTTACATAATCCAGACTGTTGGAAATATTATAGAACAAATAAGTGATTGTTAACAAGTAAATTACAAAGAGTATTAAAAAAGAAAAATAGGGGAAGAACTGTAGATTAAAAGAAACTTAAAAGAACCATTGACAAGTACAATGCATGGACCTTATATGGATTCTGATTATAATAAACCAACTTTAAATAACTATTACATTTATGAAGCAATTGGTAATTTGAATACTGATTGAGTATTTTATAATATTAAGGAATTATTGTTAATTTTAAGGTGTTGTATTGTGGTTATGTTTTAAAAGTCTTCTCTTTTAGAGCTGGTTTGGCTCGGTGGATAGAGCGTTGGCCTGCAGACTGAAGGGTCCCAAGTTCGATTCTGGTCAAGGACACTTGCCCAGGTTGTGGGCTTGATCCCCAGTAGGGGATGTGCAGGAGGCAGCGATCAATGATTCTCTTTCATCATTGATGTTTCTATCTCTCTCCCCCTCTCCCTTCCTCTCTGAAATCAATAAAAATATATTTAAAAAATGAAAGTTTTCTCTTTTAGATATATATACATGAAGTATTTATAGATGAAATGCTATGATGTGTGGGAGGAGACAGGTAGCATATGGTTGAAACAGGATTGTTCTTACGTTGATAGTACTTGAAGCAGGATAGGAACATGGAGGCTCCAATATAGAATCTGTTCACTTTTGTATATAGTCAACATTTTCCACAGCAAAAAGGTAACAAAAGAATATTATCTTATGCACATAATAAGCACACACACCTTTATTGACTTGTATATGCATAATATATCTCTAAAAAGACCCTTAAAAAGCTTATTATATTGGCTGTGGGGGGGAGGGGAATGGGGTGACAATGGGTAGGAGAGAGTTTGTGTTAGTATATTTATATGTAGTTTTAAATTTTGGACATTGTGGATATATTACCTATTTAAAAAGATAAGTAATCTTTAAATCCAGGTTTTGGTGCCAGATAGCCTGAGATGGTACCCAAGCTCCATTAATATCAGCTGTGTGACCTCAAGCACATGATCTAACATCTTTAACCCTAAATTCCCTGCTATAAAATGGAAAGAATAGTATCTCCCTCTTGGAGATTAAGAATGAAAAGCAGTATAATGTCTAAGACATGGTAAATTCTGAATAAGTTTTAGCTCCTTTCATTTTTATCCAAAATAAAGTGAGAGGTTGTGGGGCACCAAGAGGTTATGAGAAAGTGATCACTGGCTTGGGCTAAAAGCTCGAATAGAGAGATGCTTGTTTGTTCTGGGGGCTCTGATGGGCTTGCCTTGATAAATATCAGCTGTGAGAGAGTAGACAGACTGTTATTTATCTTAGAGAAGACTACTCTGGTTGGTACTCAGTCTAGTTTTCATGTGCCTTTATTTTAAAACTGTGGTTTGAGGCCTGCCTCAGAAATTGAAAACAGCTGAGACCCAACCTCTGCGTGGTTCTGCCATGGGCAGTTCTTACCTCTCTAGGCCACCAATTATCTTCATCTGTAAAGTGAGTGGGCGGGGTCAGAGGAGGGCCCAGGACCTCTGGCTCTAACATACTGTGACCTGGTGCACTACTCCTTGTTACCTCCCAGACTATTCAGAAGCCTGTTTCCAATGGACTGTGGAAGAGAGACTTTGAATTCATTCATTCACTCATTCATTCATTCAAGTATTCATTCTACTAGCATGTGCCTGACACTATTCTAGGTAGTGGACATTCAGTAGTGAGCAAAACATGTAAGTTGTCTGTTCTTATGGAGCTTAAATTCTAGTAGTGGAAGATAAACAACAAATAAGTGAAGCAACCACTAATCAACAGATATCTAAATGTTCTGATGGCCATATGTCCTATCAGGAAAAAAAAAAACATGGAAGAGGCATAAAGAACAATAGGGTGGGCAGGGAATTTCTCTTTGTGGTAGGGATAATTGAGTTGAGATCTCAAAGAAAAGGCATGAGTCATGCAGAGACCTGGGAGAAGTGATCTAGAAAAATGCAATTCAAATGCAAAAGAAGTGGCTTTTCTGCTATCCTTCTCTGGTGTTTCTGCTTATAAGGAATTTCACTGTATTGTATACTCTCCAATCCACTCCCACAGCCTACAGAAGGGCTACATTAGTAGATGTTTATTGCTTTAAAAATGGCTCCTTTAAAGTTCCTCTATGAACT